TAAACTTAACTTTACCATTATGTTCAAAATACTTTTTTATGCTAAGATTGACTATACACATGTTCTTATCCATGGTCATATGCAATATTTATAAAGATATTTACTTCCTCAAATTTTAGAATTTAGATTTACTTCCAAAAATGACATCTTTATGGCTTTACTTGTATTTTAGTAGAGAGGGTGCTAATCTTAATTTCTTCACTCCTTAGAATAAATTCAATGTTGCTATTGCATTTGAAAGACTTCTATTAATTGCAAAAGCTACTTTATTGCTTGGATTTATTGAATTTGGAGAATTGTTTTAAAATTGCCATTGTTAAATTTTATTAAATTTTTTTAAGAAAATTATAATTTTGATTTCCTCTAAATTATATGAGATGATTGTAGATGAACTCATAGGCTCTCAATCAAATTTTATAGCAATGGTTAAAAACCTCTAAATTATTAAAATTAATTAAATTTCTATTCTAACTTTTAAATCTTATCACTTTGGTATCAATTAATTCAATTCAAGGAATTAGGTTAGAATTTGTACCATCAAAGGTTACAACCCTCAGAATTCTATTGGATTATATTTTTCTTATATAAATCATATTCTAACTTATTTAATTATCAAAAAATAAAGAAAAAATAAAAATTTAAATTTTAAAGCATAATTGATAGGTCACACTTTTTTGTGAAGAAAAATGATGGATTTCTATGAATGTGCATAGACTATTGAGGATTTAAAAAGATTACTATCAAGAATAAATATCCTTTATCTTTGATTTTAGGACTTTTTGATCAATCCAATCAAACAAAGATCTACAAAAAATAGATCTACAAGGAATATAAAACTTAATGTATATAAAAGAAGGAAATGAATTGAAGACTATTTTTTGAACTATGTAGGAACATTTCTAATATAATATCATGCCTAAATCTTAATACACCAATTACTTTTTAATATTTTATAAATGACATTTTTTGTGAGTTTTTTGATGATTTTATAATTTATTACTTATATGATATTTTAATCTACTCTAAGAACATAAAAAAAATATGAAATTCATGTTTGTCGTGTATTACAAAAACTTAAAGATGTAAGATTATATGCCAAGATAGAAAAGAGTATATTCCACACTATTCAAGTTGACTTCTTAGAATACATTATTTCTAATCAAGGTCTTATGATAGATTCTAAGAAGGTTCAAACTATTATGGATTGGAAGATTTTAAAAACAATTAGAGATGTACAATGTTTTTTTGGAATTTTTCAATTATTATTGAATCTTTATCAAGAATTTTTTTTAAGTTGTAGATCTTGTTAATTGTTTGACCTATAAAAAATATTTTGAATAAAGCAAAGAAGTTGAAGTATCTTTGGAAGTCTTGAAGACAACAATTAGTTCTGTACTAATCTTGTATTGCATTGACTTTTTCAAGGTATTTTTCATAAAAATAAAAACATTAGAATTTTTTTATTAGTATTTTTTTTTTGTCACAAACAAGAGTAGATGACAAGCTTTATTCAAAAGTTTTTCATTCTAAGAACTTTTTAACAGTTGAGATTAACTATGACATCTACAATAAACAGCTTCTTGCAATCATGGGTTCAATTTAAGAATAAGGTCATTATTTAGAAAGTGCTTCTAGTTCAATCACCATGTATACAAATCAGAAGAACCTCAAGTATTTCATGTCATCACATATTTTAAATTATTGCCAAGTCCATTGAAGCAAGTCCTTATGAAGATTTTGAGTTTAAAATCATTTAAAAAATAACAAGGTTTGTCAAACACCTTTTTTGGATGCTTTTATCTTCTAGAAAAGAAAAAAAATGTAGCTTTTAATCAATAAAATAGAATTCTCTTGAAGTTAGAGCATTTTCATCTTTGAATAATGAAATCAACATTCACTATTCATTCAATCTTTTTCAAAATATTCAATTAAATATGTACTCTAATCTTCTTATTTATAATATTAAGAATAATTCTTCTAAGTCTCATGATACTTTTAAGTTCAAGTTCAAAAATAATCTACTTTATTTTGAGGGATGATTATATATTATAAAAGATAAAGTACAATTATGTATTCTTCAAGCTAGTCACAAGTTTTTAGAAGTTGAACATTTTAGATATAACAAGATTTTGGAGCTAATATCTAGAAATTTTTGATGGCCTCAAATGTAAAAGGTAGTCAAAGACTTTTTACAATCATGTAACATTTGTTCAAGATTAAAAATTTCTTTTTATCAACCTTATGGACTTCTTCAGCCATTACATATTTCAAAACAATCATACTCTACTATTTTTATGAATTTTATTACAAATCTTTTAGTCTTATGTTTATATGATTTTATATTTGTGATAGTAGATCATTTTACTAAGATGGTATATTTTGTATAATGTACAAAATCTATTACAAATAAAAAATCAATAAAGTTTTTTTACAATATTTATTATTATCATGGATTGCTTGAAGATATTATATTGGTTAAAGAGATTCAATTTATATTAAGATTATAAAGAACTCTTTTCAAGATTTTAAAAGTAGACATGAAGCTATCTTTAATCTTTCATTTTTAAATTGATGGATAAATAGAGCTTGTAAAGTAAATTTTAGAGCAGTATTTAAGATATATTATCAACTACCAACAAGATAATTGGACAATTCTTTTGCCATTGGCAGAGTTTGCTTATAATAATATATTACATTTTTCTATGTAATAAATACCTTTCTCTGTTAATTATAATTATCATCTATAATTTGATATTTTTGACTTATCAAAAGTTAATAATCTTTTAAGAAAAGATTTAGTGAATCATTTATCTAAGCTACCTAAAATAATAAAGGTACAACTATAAGAAGCTTAAGAATAACAAAAGACCAAGATGGATACCTATTAGAAGGAGCAACCTCAATTCTATGTTGGCAATAAGGTATAATTGCTTCATTACAATATTAAGACTAGCCATTCTTATAACAAGTTGGATTATTGTAAGGTTAGACCATTTCTTATTTGTAAATAAGTGAATCATGTTGCTTATTGATTATATCTACTAAAGTCTATGAAAATCCATCCCAAATTTTACATATCTTTTTTCAAATAATATAAGATAGTGAATAACTCAAATAGAAGACAAATGCCACTTCTTCCTATAAAAGTGGATAATAATCAAGTATTTGTGATAGAAGTCTTAGATTTAAGACAATACTAAAATAGTTTAAAATATCTTATTTATTGGTGTAGATATAATATTAGTGAATACATATGGAAGTTAAGAAAAAATCTTGCAAATACAATAAAGAAGATTGAGTCTTATTATTGACGACATTGATTAAAATCAAGATGAAAGATAGATTTTTTTTATTATAAAAGAAACAAGATCAAAAAAAGATAGCATTCTACCTTCTATCCTTATTTCTATTTTTGTATATTTATAGCACTAAGGAGATGAAAAACCAAAAATTAGTAAATTCAACTTAAGAATTATCATTTATTAACTTATTTGATTAGATATTGTGATTGTTACAATCTTTAAGACAACATAATCAAGTTGAAGATCCTTAAGAATAACATGTCCTTCCTTGAGTAGATGGTAAGATACAATGCATTTGGTATCATGACCTTCAAAGAGACTCCTAATGTTTGGTGATTTTATTAGAGGTAAGAAAGACTCATGATGGTATTTCAAATGTGTTTTTTGAAAGAATTTATGAATGCTTCAACAACGATCAAATAATACAATAGTCTTCTTGCGATAGTGTGGAATATTATTGATAGCTGAGATGACCTATCAACCATCTTCAAAGACAGCAAAGATCAGACTATTTAGCAAATATAATTCTCTAGATATTAAACTTCTTCAATCTATGATGACCACTCTTTGTAGAACTTATTCTTAGAAAAAAAGTATTATCATGGACATACATATTTATTTCAATAATTACCTATATGATTAAATAAAAGTAGATAAAAATAGATTAATTTCATAATATCTTCTAGAGAAGCTTCAAAGATGCACATTTGATTTTACACATGTTTGTAGGTTAGAAACTTAGTTAATAAGTTAGCCATGAATGACATGTCTTGGTAGGTTGTAGAACAAGCTAACTGTGTGGTATACATATAGAAAACTTATCTTGCAAGTTAAGACATGTATCTCAAAATTTGAATACATGTTGGAGGTCCTATAGAATGTTGTCATATAGCTCCTAGTTAGATAGTATATATAGTAGCAAGAGTGAGGTCTTCTTCACTCTTATCAATACATTTCTAGTCTTTGCTCTTATTTCAAGACTTTTCAATCTTCTTGTTATTGGTAATAGCCATTTTAGTTTAATATTATCCATATAGACAAAATTCATCATATTAATATAAAAATAAAAATGAAAAATTACCACAATCTTTTATCATTAGTGGAATGAAAAAATTCAGTAGAATTATGAGAATAAAATTATGTGACAATTTGATTCACTTAACTTTTAATTATAAAATGTCCTTCAAAAAGTGACTTCATAAATAAAAATGAGTTTTTATTTATGCAGAATGAAAATTCTAAATAATCACCATATTGAAAATGTCGCATTTCAACTCCATTCAAACAAATTTCATGCAAAATTGGCCTATTCTTTGTTTGTAATGAAAATTTAGAAATATTTTTTTTATTTTATGTTTCAAATTTTTATTAAAATATTGGTAATAGCAATAGTAAATCTAACCATGTAGATGTAAAGTAAAATTCAACTTCAACAACTTTTGTTTATATATCACCTCCAGATTCTTCTTTTGAGTTGTATTTTACAATGGATCCTCACAAATCTTCAAAAACACAGAATTCCTGTAACCTCAACAGGTTAAAATTGAGCCCAGCTTTTTATCAATGCAATAACGGGCGTTCCAAGATACGGTCCCTATTTTAGGACTCGTTTGGCTAAGTGATATTTTGAACGTGGTTTGGGTTTGGTTTGGTGGGTATTGGACAGTTTTTATCTGGGTATCGCGGTGCTCGTCGAGGTTTCGAGTTAGGGTCTACGTCTCATTTGCTCCAACTCAGCGACTCCTTTCTGACGATTGGGACGTGAGGTGCTGGACATTTATGCCGGTAGACATTCTGGACGTTGATGTAGATAAGTTTGCTGCACATCGATGCGGGTGCAATGGTACTTGAAGCTGGTGGAAACGGTGATGAGGACTTGTGCTCTGAGAGTAGCGTGGAGAAATCATCGTCTAGGGGCATTAGGGGGTCGTGTTTCTCGGATCGGGCTCGCCTCGTTGGTCGCCTATTAAATTGGGTCGTGGAGAAGAATGGCTGACGGCATTGGAAATTCGGAAGAGCAGATACGAAGCGTGGACGACCAGATTCGAAGCGTGCACGAGTAGATAAGAATAGTGGAAGAGAAGATAGAATGATTGGAAGAGGAGATCAACAGATGCCCTAGCGATGAGGAGAGGAAGCTATTGCGGGGCAAGGAAGCGTAACTTGGGGGCGAGAAAGCGCAACTCCGGGATAGGGAATCGCAACTTGGGGGCGAGAATGCGCAACTCCGGGACGAGAAAGTGCAAATCCTGCAACGACGAGGTCACTCCTATCACTCGTCACTTGTCATTGAAGGCCCATCTCCTCAGGTTCTTTGTCTTTTAATGTTTCCGAGGGGCTGTCGGATTCTTGGGGGAAGTTTAATTTCATAGTTGTGGAATTAGGGATGGCATAGGATTGGATAGTTCACTTCATTAACCTCAATTGTCCCGTAGCCGGTTCTTTGTTGCCAAACTAGGTGTTCTGGGCTATGTTTATTTGTTATTGTGAGTCGTTTGGAGGCGATCCGTCCATAGAGTTGTCCTAGAACCCGTTTGGATCCTCCTCAGTTTGGTGATGCTTGTAAAGGTGCGTGTATATCAAGTTCAATCTTAGATTGTGTTGTGCATGCAGGCCTGGGCACAGAATATGACTGGCTGGTGCAGAAGGTCGTGCCGCCGACTCGCTCTTCACGGGCTGGCGTTTATCCAAGCAGCTCGAGCCATACATAGATGTGGTTACCTGTTAAAGTAGAGCATTGGGATGTAATGAACGAGGTCGAAGAATTTCTAGAAATCGCATATTGAAGGAAGCGTGTGTATCGAATCACTGTCACCGCTCACACTCAGGACACTAGACTGGAGCAAAAGCAAGAGAATCCTCTTATCAATTTTATCCTGGAGGAAATGGTATCTCTTATGCAAAAGAAGGAGCTGCAGTTTAACTTTCACTACAAGCGGGAATTCACAATCCTTAGCAAGAGTAAAGGGAGAAATGACGGATTAGGATCAAGTGAGGGTGCGAGTTCAAGTGCCATGGTTGACGTTTATTCCGGAGGCCCTAGAGCAGATTTCGTAATCACTTTAAGGAAGAAGAATGCCTTGGTCTTCGAGGTCAAGAATGAAGGTCTGGGAAGTGACGGAGTCGACCCCTAGTTTCTCCACCGAGTTTGGACAGACTGCTCTTGCAGATCAAGTTCTATCTGGCCCTATCCCATATTTTCAAAGTGTGTTCCAATTCTTACATTGTTGCAAGAATTTTGACTGAGGTTCCAATAATCGCAGGAGAGGGCAGGTGCGGATTTGCCGTTTTTGGCATCATGCCATCTCATGGTGAAAGGATCATCCGTTGTATTTGTCAGTTGTATGAGTACATGGTTTTGTAAGGTTCTTTTAAACCCCTGATTATCTCGGTAATTTTTCCTCTTGGCTAGATTAGCTTGGAGCTCAGCGTTTATCTGCTTAGCCTTTGCTTTTTCAGCTCCTAATAAACAAGAAACCCTTTTTTTAACAAGCTGCATTCTACTGCCTGTTGATCCTGGTTCTAAGTTGACTCACTCAAGATGATCTTCTTCTCTTCTTCTTACTTGTATCTCCCTTCATCCTCCTAGTGGGATTTTCTCGTACCGTCTTGGTTTTCCGATCTTCGTTTGGCAAAACGACAACATGGAATTCGTGGCACTTCTCATTTTGCTATCCCTTTTCTCTGAGTTGCAGGTGTAAGGTGGGTTATAATGTTCTAACCGATGCAAGAAATTGGTATCTCTTCAAACGGGATAATGCCGGCTGCCTTAAAATATCATATGGTATTAAGACGAGCGCTGAGCCCCCGCGTGTGCTTGCTGCTTTGTCATATTTGGTGCACGCTGCTGCACTGGATAACTCTGAGTTTGGTGACCCAACGGGGAATGGCCAATTTCCCTTAGTTCATGAAGCTGCCCCCTCTGAACATTCCGATGAAAGTAGTGATCATGACATCAATGATTGAACCTTTACAGCACGTGTGAGCCAAAATATCTCTTCCTCTGATAAACGAAGGTAACTTGTCCAGCCAGCTATTCAAGTTTGTTCCATGAAGTCGGACACATAGTCAAGAACAAATGGTGAAATGATAGCAATTGTATTTGCAGGTCTGAAAGACATCGCTGAGGTGGGGCTCAGCTGGCTTTGGAAGATTTCTCCGCTGAGGACCTGAACCTGAAAAAGGCGGGTGGTGTCATAAATAGTGAGGGGTGGAGTGGATGCGTTGTAAATGGCTGTTTGCATGGCCAACCTGTTGCATTGAAGTTTGCCTACTTAGGCATGGAACATGCCGAGGTGAGTCGAAGTTGTGTCATGTGGAAATGTTGCGTTCACATCTCAAAGTGGCTGCTACTTCATCTAATCCGGGGACTGAGGTGGAGAGGTCCTGTTTGTGACAGCTTTACTGACAGATAGTCTTTGGTAGATGCAACGTGGAGCATGCTGGTGTTCAAGTGCACATGCAGTTTGCTGCACTTACCTGTTTGTGATCTTTCTCTGCCCAGCCCATCTTTGGCCGTGCTTGTGCAGGCTCTCCTAAAGGAGGTGGTTGCCTATACGAAGATCGAGAAGCTTTGGGGGATTTTTGTTCCTCGATTAATAGGATATGGAACCACAAATAACGGTCGGGTTGTATTTATCGCGACTGAATTGATTGACGGTGTTGAGCTTGGAGAAGGTAGGATTTCTTGCAAAACTCTCAGATGCGGAGCATCCTACACTCCGTATTCTGGTCTTGAGGGTTTCTCGTAGCTTGGGTATGGTGATTCTATGAAGTATTTTTTTGAAGGGCCAATACCTTTGACCACCTGCAATCTGCTGGCAGAATTGTCATTTATTTGCCTTCTGTGGTGATTATGTTTCAGTGGCGGTGACCCGGGAGGTGGAGACTGCAGCGCTTGAAGCGCTTGCTGCAGTCCATGCATGCGAGTTGCTTCATAGAGATGTTTCCTTAAGTAACATTATGGTTGTGTGGGGAACGAAGCCTACTGTCCGCATCTTGGATTTTGGCTTCTCGTGGATTACCAGCAACAAGAAGTTACAGGAGGCAGAGCGCGTGCGCTTAAAGCGTCTTTTTTTTTCACACATGGTGGAGCAGCGGGGGAAGAAGCAAATGATGCAAGATATCCTTGTATTCTGCCTTGTTAAATGCAAGGCAAGCTCTTGTCCAAGGAACTTTCACTTATCTTGTTACAGCTAGAAGTACCATGTTAATGGCATCAGAGCAGGGTCAACTCTCCATTTGGAGAGTGCCATCATCTGCTTGATACTTTGCGGTGTGTCTAGAAACAGAGGGATCATGAATTATACATTTGCATCCATGCTTGACTTAGTCCAATTTGAACCAGCTGACAGATGCTGACTGGTTATGTGTATCTGGAAAAGTTGCTAAAGGGTCATATGTATTTGAAGAAATTGATGCCAGCAGGCAAGTAGGCATGCACTATTTTTTGTGTTCAAAGAAGTACATTGATAAAACATCATGTGCAGAGGGGATGTTGTTGTATTTATAAATAAAAGATAGATTGTGACTTCTATTGTCAACTGTTATGTTGAAGTTCAGAAAGTGGAAGTTGCTTAGTAATACATTAAGTAAAATCAATAATGTATTATAAAACATAGATTTGTAATATAGAATATGGAAAGGAGAAAGGTAAAAGTTAAGAGAAGATGGGGAGGAGGTGTGGTGATAACCACAAATCTTAGATGTATACATTGCATCATCTTGTTGCTCAGAGGCTAGCAGGTGGATCTAATTGGTCATTTTTCTTATTTTCAAGTTTCAGTAGTAGTGCCAAATCATGTAGTTATAAGTTGCTTAGATGGGCTAGGTGGACTTTGAATCTAAATCAATGCCATGGTGTGTGAAGTATTGTCATATTGTAAATGCTTATGGTATGTAAAAATTAGTTAAAATATATTATATGTTGATAAATTTAGATGTGTGTTAGAGTGGTTAGGAGATTAAATTAAAAGAAGTTGGTATAAGAAATTTAATTTTGTTTTGTTTTGTTTTGTTTTTTTGTTTTTTTGTTTTTTTTATTTGTTTTGATTTTGGCATTAAAAAAGAAAAGAAAAGAAAAGACGTAAATATTTAGTGTAAAGCCTTAGGAGAAGGTGGAAGCCTAAGGATTAAAATTTAAATTAGTAGGACGACAATTGAAAGGGATGAAAGCAAAGCATGGTCGGATGAAAGCAAGGCATGGTCAAATGAAAGCAAAGAATGGAGAACTTCATTCTTATTAGTTGAATACTATGTCCAATGGACTTTGAAGAGGCTATCTGTGATCTTAATATGGGTTTCGATGACTTCAAAGAGAGCAATCGGGAATTAAAAGCCAAGATTATAAAGTTTAGGGTTTGGGTTAGAATTTGTATGTAAAAATTAGAGGATTTGGAGTTAGGGTGAAGAAGATATAGCTATTTGAAGTTAAGATATTAATTCAAGATATACTATTACTCTTTTGAGGATACGATGAATTATATGACAGTTTTTGAAGATTGGAAGGTGCGGTTGGAACAACAATTTCAAGGCCTACATTTTTTATGAAAGAATTGTTGCTTTTGGAATTCATGTGAAGGAGTTATAGGGAGTTGAAGGCGGCGCTTCCAAATCAAAGGTAGTAAGTGAGCGGTTTTGTTTATAGTAATGGTTGGAGACATAACTTGAATTTTTGGACGAAATTTTGGGTCAAGCTTTTTAGAAAATATAACATTTTGTGTTAAGAAGCTATACATAATATATTTCGTAGCATTTGAGCTTATATTTTGTGAAATATGAAGAAAATTGTACTCGATATATAAAAACAAGGATTTAAAGCGATTGTTAGGATTTTCAAGATATCTCAAGATCCGCAACAAATTTGTAGTTGAAATTTATTATAGAAGTTGATAAAAATACATCAGTACCTCATGTAAAATTTGAGTTTGTTTAAACAATCGGATTAAAAGATATGAAGTGTTGAAATTTGGAAAAAATTTCTACATAAGGATATACAAGGTTTTTTAAGATTTTATCATATTTTGGGTGTTGTTGGTTACTTGAGGCTTATGTATTTGGTATAATTGCTCAAAAAGAGAAAATTTATATATAAACTTAGGGCTTCCCTTATTTTAAAGCTTAATTGAGTAATTAATATTAACTTGAAGCCCAACATTTTTTTGAGGTAAATTCTCTCTACCTCGATAGCGTTTAATTAGTTGGATTTCAATGGTTTGGTAATTACAGCAATATATGTTTGAGATTTAAATTCTTAAATTTTTCATTATATATATATATATATATATATAAATTATTTTATTTTATTTTTATTATTTTTTTTCTTACTTATGTTTAAACTTTATCTAAGCTTGAAGTTTCTTTTGTATATCTACCTCGATTCTTAATTTTCTTTCTATTAATAAAAGATTTTATAAAAATAAGGTTAAATTTATAAAAATAAATATATGAAAAAAAAATATGGAAGAAGAAACCAAAGAATTTAGTTAGAAAGGGGATTGTAAAGAAAATCTAAATACTTTGGTCAAAAAAGAAGCATGGGGAGAAGAAACCAAAGTAATTAATCAACAAGGAAAAGCATAGGAAAGAAAAATACAATGGAAGTTGGAATAAGTTAAAGTACAATAAAGAGTTGATGGAGAGGATAAAAAGAGAAGTTGGAGTATGCTAACAAAATCAGAAGGAAAGGCAAGTTGCATAATCTATATTATAATTTGAATTATAAAGCCAATAGAATTTGAACCATTTTTAATTTAATTTTTTTTTATATCATTTAAATGATAATAGCATAAATAAATATTTTTATTCCATTGAAATTACAACCTTTGATAATGGAAAAGTAGGTTACTTCCAAATTCTAAAATTCCGAAAATATAAGAATTTATCAATTCTAAAATTTGTTTTTAAAACCTCCATAATATCTTAATTATATATTCTTTGAAAAAACTAAATACACCGATAAATTCATAATATTTCAAAATAAGAAGATAGGTCTCTTCAAAATATTGAAATTCTTTACAAAAAAAAAAAAAAATCAACTCTACATCTAAAAATCAAAGTGTTTATATTTACCAAATGAAAGAAGCATATGTAAAGTTAATTACATTATTAGAACTACAACCTTTAAAAATAGGGAAGGCGGGCCAATTCAAAATTCTAAAAAAAATACGTGAATTTTTAAAAAATACGTGAATTTTTAAAAAATACACATAATTCTAAATCTTAAATTTAAACCTAGCTAATAATTATAGATATTTTCTAAAGAACAAAATTTATGTAGATTGTATAGGTATTATCTAATATTATATTGATCTCTATTGGATTAATTAAAGAGAATATATACTATCTATTAGATAGCTATTTTTTAAGATTTAAAATTTAATAATTAGAACTTTATGTATACTTCAAATTTTTGAAATTTTCATTCAACTAAAAAAATATTCAATTCTACATCTAAAAGTCAAAGAATATGTATCTACCAAATGAAAGAAATATAAGTAAAGTTAATTGCACCATTGGAACTACAATCTTTAAAAATAGGAAGATAGGTCAATTCAAAATTCCAAAAAAGGTATGTGAATTTTTTGGAAACATATATATAATCCTAAATCTTAAATCCTAATTCCTAAACCTAAATCCTAAATCTTAAATCCTAATTCCTAAACCTAAATCTTAAATCCTAATTCCTAAACCAAAATCCTAAATCTAAAACTCCTAAACTCTAAAATCCTAAATCCTAAACTTTGCCACTATATTTAATAATATAATATAAATTGGCATGTCCATGAATAACACATTGCATAGACTTTGTAATTATAAATCATTAGTATAAGGTACAAACTCATGTATATTTGGTATATCTTACTTATAGAGCCTAAATCCTTCAATTCCATTTACACTCGCACTTATAGCTCCTAAAATCTAAACCTTAAATCTTTAGTCATACTTATAATTTCCAAACCTTGGTCGTATACCTTAGACCCTAAGTATAGTTTACACTCGCATTTGTAGATCTTGAACTGCATCATATTCACACATGTACTAGTAGATCCTGAACTGCATCATGTTCACACTTGTACTAATAGATCTTCAAACTTGAATCCCGTTGACAATCGCATTGATAGACCATCAACCTCTTAAACTATATTCATACTTGTATTGATTGATCCTCAATTCTAAACTTTGTTCATACTCATGCTGATAGATCCTCAATCCTAAAACTTGTTCTCACTCGTACTTGTAGACCTTAAACTTTCTTAAACCTCATTCACACTCGCACTCGTAAACCTTCAATCTTAAACTCCATTTACACTTGCATTGATAGCCCTTAATTCTTTAAATTCCATTTGTACTAGTATTAGTAGACCTTCAATCTCTTAAATACCATTCACACTTGTGGTTGTAGACCTTAAACCTTCTTAAATCACATTTTAGACTCACATTTTTTGTGACTTAGTATCTCTTCAAGCGTAGATTTGATGAAGGTTTCAAATATGTCATTAAAATTAGAAGCATGACAAACATAAGGGCACGTCTACTCAAGATCTCCAAACTAAGAAGCACATAAAAAATCAATCCTCAAACTTGTGTCAAGTCAAAGGCCTTATATCTTAATATTGAGAAATTTGTAGAGTAAGTTATTTACACCACATCAACTAAATGCCCTTTTCAAAACTTTCAAATGCCTCTTATATCATCAAAGTCAACCACCTTAGAAGCAAAGTTAAACCACCTTATATCTTGCAAATTAAGAATTTATAGAGTAAGTTGTTCATACCATTTGAATTGTAGACCTCAAAAATAGAAGAGTACATCAATTCAAAATTTAAAAATAAGAGGGTTGGAAAACCTAAGAACATCCTTGTAATCCTTTCTTATGTGCATGATAAGCCCTCAATTCTATCTTAAATCCTATATTCTAGACCGTAAACCACATTCCATTTAGATTTGAGATTTTCTTGTATATTTATCTTTGTGAGACCTTCTTAAGCGATGATTTTTTTGTATGAATATTAATAATGATTCTAGTTTATTTATTATTATTATTTTTTTATCTTTTTGGTCCCATAAGAATCTGTGGTCGGCTTGACAAGTTTTGTTGAAACAACCTTAATAGTAAAGACTAATAGAAGAAAACATGTTTTCTTCTCTTTTTTTTTTTTTTTTTTTTTTTTTTTTTTGACCAAAGAGAGAGACCTTGAAGAAGTATTTCTTGTGGTTGGCTCTCTCCTACTTCCTCCTCCCTCTCCTCTTTTATTATCTTGCCAACGCCCATTCCAAGATTCAAACTTCTATTACTCATGTCCTGCTCTATTATGTCGTTCTTTGCATGACTTGCATCCAAACGAGTATACTATAGCCTAGCCTGAACCTTTATGCGTACCATTCAAACTTGTTATATTTTACAAAAATGGCTAGCTAGATTTTTTATTGTTTTTTAAATTTAGAGATAATCCATATTTTTTTAAAAAATTTATATATTAGATCCAGAGGTAATCTACAATGTAAACTTTTCATTGTTGGTTGGTAAGAAATTACATTGCTC